CCCCCCCGCCTGCCCTGCCCCTGCGCCCCCCTGCCCCTGCAGCCTCTATGCCCCTGCCTGCCCTGCTCCTCCTGGCCCTGCAGCCCATGCACCCCCCCCACTCCTGCAGGCTCTGTGTCCCCTGCTCCACACTCGCCCTGCAGCCCCTGCACCCCCCACCACTGCAGCCTCTGTGCCCCCCACCTACCCTGCCCCTGCAGCCTCCTTGCCCCTGCCTGCCCTGCTCCTCCTCGCCCTGCAATCCCTGCATCCCCCCGCCCCTGCAGCCTCTGTGCCCCCTGCTCCCCACTCGCCCTGCAGCCCCTGGGAAGAAAACTCTTGCGGCCAACAGGCTTGGTAGAAGCTGTGAGTGATATCTGCTGACTACTGTGCTACACTGAGTGAGATGAGGAAGAACTGAGGGTGCTTACTCACACCATATATTTGGGATTCTCAACTTTTTCCTTCATTCCCCATTTCTGTGTCAGTCCTCACCTGTGTGGTCAGCTCTCAGGCTCTCTCTTTCCTCGCAGACCTGGAGATGCGGGACCCACGGCTCTTCCCCTCGTTCCAGGCGGGAGATCAGCTCAGGTTTGGGAAGGGAGAATCCTGTGCAGGGAGGGAAATCAGACCAGATCAGGGTGCATGGAGGATTGAGAGCGCATCTGTCACAAAGGACATTCTGTGAGCGGAAGCTGTCCCTGTGCTCTGCTAGGGAACGTGGAACCAAAGAGGATGGGAACGTGGTCACTGAGCCCTCTTGGGAGAGGCAGACGTCTGGGGAAGTGAGGGGAATTTTTACACCCTCACTGGGGGTACGTCTTCACTTACATCCGGGTCCGGATGTAAGCAATCGGTTTTCTGAGTTCGATTTATCGCGTCTGGTTAAGACGCGATAAATGGATCCCGGATCGATCCCGGAAGTGCCCCGGATCGATCCCGGAAGTGCTCTCCGTCTACGCTGGTACTCCAGCTCGGCGAGTGGAGTACGCAGCATCGACGGGGGAGCCTGCCTGCTGCGTCTGGACCGCGGTAAGTTCGGACTAAGGTACTTCGAATTCAGCTACGTTATTAACGTAGCTGAATTTGCGTACCTTAGTCCGAAGTGGGGGGTTAGTGTAGACCAGGCCTAGGAGTTCCCAGGATCTTCCCAGTCTAGGGGCCTTGCTGACTCACACACAGCTCTGGCGTTAAACCCCTGTCTATTTCTAAGCCTTCCCAACAGCTGGAGCTATTCCCAAGAAGGGCAGTAAATAAGGATTGTGTGTGAATGGGAATCAATACAGAAAGGAAAATGTATTAATTCTACCCCTTTGAAAACTGGAGGGGTGGGGATGAGCTAACTTGCCCATTAAGTTTTGACACCATTTCTCACTGGAGAGGGCACAGAGTTGCAAGTCTCTCTCACATGGCAGCTGTGCATTATGGAACCCATTTGCCTCTGATCTAACAGATGTGAGAAGAACCTGACCAGAGTCAGACATGAAGACTCCACAGCTTCTAATAACCAAGGGGACAGGAATCCCTTACCCAGTGAGGTCACCATCTCATTGTTCTCCTGCATGATGTCCCTGTAGAGGAGGGGTCTCAAACACGCTGCCCGCGGAGCTCTTCCCTGTGGCCCGCCAAGCTCCCCACGCCCCCCAGTTACTTCCTGTTGCTGCCAAACTCCCCTCACCTCCACCCCGAGTAATTTTATGTGGCAGCTAAGCTCCCTGTGCGCTGCTCCCCAATGTTTGGGGCCAGGTCTCTTCATCTGGGGGCAATTTTTATTCCCTCTGCCGCCCTTCATGCCTGAGTTTCCACCTCGGCCCTGTATTGCAGGGCCTGTGCCCTGGCTCCCCCGCCCCGCACACACCGGGAGCTGGCGGCAGCTTTCCCGGGCCCAGGGCAGGGAATTGCAGCCAGCTCCACTGGGAGCAGCCTGGGGCCAAACCTCCACCTGCAGCGCGGGGGTGGGCGTGTCTCTCTTACCTTCCCTCTGAGCGGGGACCCCCTGGGGCAGGGGCTGGGCCAGGAAGGGGCCCTGGCCAGGCTGGGGGCTCTGCCCTGGGAGAGGCTCCTGAGGAGCAGCGGGAAGGGCCCTGCTGGAGATTCCCCTCTCCTGGCTGCAGCCAGGGCTCCGGGCTCCCAGCACCAGCCGTCGGGGCTCGGGGATCTCGCCAGGAGCCTGGGAGCCAGAGTCCCAGCAGCATCTGCTAGTCACTTCCTGCTGCCGGGCCTGAGCCCAGCGATGGCTTCCCGCAGAGCTGCCTCCCAGCTGCTCCTGGGTCCTAGAGATAAACCCACCGCACTGCAGCATCTCTGTGTCCGGCTTCTGTTACACTTATAGGCTCTAAGGTCAGAAGGGCCAATCATGAGTATCTAAACCGGGGCTCTTACAAACCACTTCCTCTTTAGTATAGTGGTGAGTATCCCCTCCTGTCACGCGGGAGACCTTGTGTAGTGCCTTTTTGACAGAACAAGGAGAATGGTTTCAAGTTGCAGTGGGGAAGGTCTTGGTTGGATATTAGAAAACTCAATTTCACTAGGAGGGTGATGAAGTACTGGAATGGGTTAACTAGGGAGGTGGTGGAATCTCCTTTCTTAGAAGTTTTTAAGGTCAGGCTTGACAACGCCGTGGCTGCGATGATTCAAGTTGGTGTTGGTCCTGCTTTGAGCAGGGGATTGGACTAGATGATCTCCTGAGCTCTCTTCCAAACCTAATCTTCTATGATTCTATGACCAAATTTTTGGTGGCCTCAGAGTTAGGACAGCAGCTCTCACTGGTGGCTGCTCTGGCACTTTTTCCTAAAATACTTAATTAACTCTAGGAAAAACCAATAAATATGCACAGAGGTAAGCGAGGGGAAGGGTCCCGCTATTGTGGGGAACTTCCCTGGCTTATACACCACCCCAGTGGAATTGAATAGCAGAAGGATCTGAGTCCTCGCTCCCACTCCCTTTACCCAGATGGCTGCCTGACCCAGAGGACTCACCTTCCAGTCTAGTCCCTGTAACTCCGATGTTGTTGAACCCAGAATTCCTGAGGGGACTTAACCCTCAATCTTGTTGGGATCACTGAGGATGCAGACAAGGGCTCCTCCACTTCGGGGTGCTCTCTTCACTTTGGATGCTTCCCTGACTATTGCATAGAGTTCACAACAAATACAATTTATTAAACAGCAAGTAATAAAAAAATTAAGGAAAAAATGGGAAAGGTGAAAGGAAAACAGGTCACCCTGCTCTCTGAGCAGGGCCAGATTAACCCTCCTGTGGGCTTGGATTATTAGATTTTGTGGGACCCTCTTGGCTGGGGGTGTCTCCCTGTGCTGGGCCCTCTGGCCAGGATCCCCCCTCGCTCTCCCCAGCTGCTCACTGCACCCAGCTCCAAACTGCTCCAGCCTCCCTCTGGCTCAGCGCTGCTGCCATAGGCGCCGACTTCCACTCTGGCTGATGGATGCTCGACCTCCCTCTGCCCACATCCATTCCCCCAAGCCCCCGCCCTGCCTCTCCCATTCTCTGGCAGGCAGCTCCAGCTCACACAGAGGATGGACTCCTGACTCTCTCAGGGAAATTAGGTTGATATTTTAGAAGTCGATTTTTCAGAACAGATTGTATAAAGTCGAATGCGTACGTCCCCACTAAGTACAGTAAATCGGCGGAGTGCGGCCACAGTACCATGGCTAGCGTCAACTTTCAGAGAAGTGCACTGTGGGTAGCTATCCCACAGTTCCCACAGTCTCTGCTGCCCACTGGAATTATGGGTTGAGCTCCCAAATCCTGATGGGGCAAAAACTTTGTCACGGGTGGTTTTGGGTACATGTCGTCAGTCTCCCCTCCCTCCGGGAAAGCAACAGCAGACAATCATTTTGCGCCCTTTTCCCTGGATTGCCCATGCAGATGCCACAGCACCACAAGCATGGAACCCACTCAGATCACCGTGGCAGTGGTGAGCATTATAAACACCTCACACATTATCATGCAGTACGTGCAGAACCAGAACCCGCAAAAGCAGGCGAGGAGGCGACGGCAGCGCGGTGACGAGACTGATGAGGACAAGGACACCAACTTCTCTCAAAGCGCGGGCCCCAGCAATTGGACGTCCTGGTAACAATGGGGCTGGCTCATGCCATGGAATGCCAATTCTGGGCCCGGGAAACAAGCACAGACTGGTGGTACCCCATAGTGTTGCAGGTATGGCATGATTCCCAGTGTCTGCGAAACTTTTGCATGCGTAAGGGCACTTTCATGGAACTTTTGACTTGCTTTCCCCTGCCCTGAAGTGCAAGAATACCAAGATGAGAGCAGCCCTCACAGTTCAGAAGCAAGTGGCGATACTCCTCTGGAAGCTTGCAATGCCAGACAGCTTTTGCGGTCAGTCAGGAATCAATTTCGACTGGGCAAATCTACTGTGGGGACTGCTGTGATCAAAGTAGCCAACGCACTCACTGAGCTGCTGCTACCAAGGGTAGTGACTCTGGGAAATGTGCAGGTCATAGTGGATGGCTTTGCTGTAATGGGATTCCCTAACTGTGGTGGGGCGATAGGTGGAACCCATATCCCTATCTTGGCACTGGACCACCTTGGCAGCCAGTACATAAACCACAAGGGGTACTTTTCAATGGTGCTGCAAACACTAGTGGATCACAAGGGACGTTTCACCAACATCAACATGGGATGGCCAGGAAAGGTACATGACGCTCGCATCTTCAGGAAATCTGGTCTGTTTGAACAGTGCAGGAAGGGACTTACTTCCCAGACCAGAAAATTACTGTGCTCTTAAAACAACAACAACAACAAAAAACCCACACTGATCACACCTCCCTTGACACATTCCTGTGCCTCCCTTAGGAAGCCCTGCCCCATAGTTTGAGAATTGCTAGTGTAGAGAGTCACCGAGGGGATTGGTAGCCAAGATGGTAACACCTGCTCCTTTCCGTCTCCGGGATCCCCAGAGAAAATGTCCGAGCAGGAGAGCAGAACAGATCCCATTGACATTAACCTTCCAAAACACATTTTGGTCATTTCAGCTATAAACATTCCCTCCATACTTGAGCCCCTACCCCCAGTAATTTCAATGAGACTGAGCTAGAATTGGGCAGGTCGCAGGGGGGACGGGTATAATCTCTGAATTATGGATCCCTGAATTAACAGAATACAGGAACCCTTGGGATAAATTGTTAACCTCTAACAAGATATAGCTAAACATAGACCACTACAGTTACCCCTCTTCTTCCATGTCTTTAACAATAGATGTTTACATTTCAAACTCTAGCTTATCTAAGATGGACACACTTTTAAAATCTCTCTCTAAAGGTTGAATCTGAGTCAATTACATGCAACTTGCTTAACCCTTTCTTGCCATGTGTCGCACAAGTTTAGAACTTGTGTGGATTCTCCCATGTTTAATGAGGTCTGATCTCCGTATGAAACTTTTCCCCCAGTCCAAGCACTTGTGGGGTCTCTCTCCTGTGTGAATTGCATGATGATTAACAAGGTCTGTCTTCCGCTTGAATCTTTTCCCACAGTCAAAGGACCTGTGGGGTCTCTCTCCTATGTGGGTTGCCTGATGTTTAACAAGGGTTGACCTCTCTATGAAAATTTCCCACAGTCCAAGCACTTGTGGAGTCTGATGCCTGATGTTGAACAAGGTTTGACCTTTGTATGAAACTTTTCCCACACCCCAAACACTTATGGGGTCCCTCCCCATCTTCCTGCTCCTGCTCCTGCTACCCCTTTCGGTCTCACCCCTCCCCTTCCTGTCTCCTTCCCTCCCCCTCTGCCTTGGAGAACTGGGGACTGTCCCATTCCCATGGGCGTTTGCTCTCCAGGGTGAGCCTGATTGTGTCACTGAGGGTAGCAGCTCTGAGACCCGCAGACCCACGGGGAGCCCCCTCCCCCTCCGGTACAAACTCACCAGCAGGTTCTGGAAAGGGGCCCTTTGTGCAGAGTCACTTTCCTACCCAGACCCAGCGCTTCCCCCCACGTCTCCCCATCACCTGCAGGCTCCGGCTCAGGGCTGGTGTGAGCAGAACCCGGGGCTGCCGCGGGGGCTGGTTGCAGGCACGGTGAAAGTCCCCAATTGGGCTGGGCCAGAGGGGGTGTTAATGAAGGTCTGTCCCTGGCACAGCCCCAGCTGGGAGCAGCAGTTTCACACTCTGGGCTCTCAGGTAGAGGAGGCAGCAGCATCTGAGCCAGGGAGCACCAGCCTCCTCCTCTCCCTTGGCAAGAACCGGAGCCCTCTGGTGGCAGCAGCTAATGCCTGAGCCTCCCTCTCCTGGCCCTGAAGCCCCCAGGGAGAGGCAGGCAGAGGCTGATCCCATTGCCCTATCCACACTCAGCCCATGCCAGAGCCAGCAGGGATTCCGATCAGACTCCGGTGTGGTTGAGATCTGGATCCTGCCCGGAAATCAGACCAGGGCCCTGTGTAGCCCCCAAGATTCAGGAGACAGACCCCACCAGCCTGGGTGTGTCTGAAAATAACACACTGGGAACAGGGCGTGTGTGTGGGTAAGAGTGGTGGTGGATGTGAGGTGTCTGTATATTTGTCTTGTAGCTTCTGACAGCATCTGGCTACTGGGTTGGGCAGCCCCTCCCCTTCTCCTGCCCCATGGGGTGGGGGAGCTGCCTTGTGTCTCTCCCCACCCCTTCTCCCCGCCACCTACCCTCTTTCCCTCCGTTCCCCAGCCAGTCTGGCTCTCCCCAGTCTCCCCTCCACACATCCCCCCTTTCCCTCGCAGTGACCCCACCCCACTCAGAGTTTCCGTCTATTGGAGCCCTGTTCCCATCCGCCCCATAAGTCTCCACGATTCCCTACATTGCCCCATCCCCCCTTCAGCCACCTCCTGCCCCCAGCCCATCCTGCCCATCACACATCCCTGTTCCCCCCTTATCTACACCTGCCCCTCTTCCCGCTCCCACCTCTTCAGCCCCCTAGGAGTGGCTCCCCCTGCCCCGCACACACCGGGAGCTGGCGGCAGCTTTCGCTGGCCCAGGGCAGGGAATCGCAGCCAGCTCCGCTGGGAGCAGCCTAGGACCAAACCTCCCCCTGCAGCCCTGGTGTGACGGGGTGTGTGTGTGTGTGGGGGGGTCGGGTATCTCTTACCTTCCCTCTGAGCGGGTCACCGCAGGGGCTGCGAGTCACTTCCTGCTCCCGGGGAATGAGAGACCCCAGCGATCGCTCCCCCCAGAGCTGCCTCCCAACTTGCCTCCCCCAACCCTAGGTTCACCCAGCACCAGCTATAGCCCATTCTTATCCCCGGCTCCAAGAGCCAGGCAGGGGGCCTGAGACAATCTGGGGGGCACTGGAAGCCATTGAACCCAACTGTAAACCCTGGATAGGATGGAAACCCATTCAAGCCAGGGGGTGTGGCAGGGCCCCACCAGGCTAGATCCAGCGCCTGTGCTGCCCCCCGGCCCTGATTGTGCCCCTGGGCCCCGCTCCTTCCCTGGCGCCCAGCTGGGACCCCAAACCCTGCATTCAGTTTGGCCCCTACCCACCTTCTGCCCCTTCCTATTTGCCCCCCTCAGATCTCCCTGAGCTGCAGCCTCCGTGTGGATGGGCAGGGAAACAAAGCAGCAGATGGGGCAGGGGGGATGGGTGGTAACGTGATCCTGCTCCTGACCCGCACACACTGGGAGCTGGCAGCAGCTTTCCAGGGCCCAGGGTAGGGAATCGCAGCCAGTTCCGCTCGGAGTAGCCTGGGCCCAAACTCTCCCCCTGCAGCCCGGGTGTGACAGGGCGGGGGGGGGTCTCTTTTACCTTCCCTTCGAACGGGGCCCCCTGGGGCAGGGGCCGGGCCGGGAAGGGGCCCTGGCTGGGCTGGGGGCTCTGCCCTGGGAAAGGCTCCTGGGGAGCAGCGGGAAGGGCCCTGCTGGAGATTCCCCTCTCCTGGCTGCAGCCAGGGCTCCGGGCTCCCAGCACCAGCCACCGGGGCTCAGGGATCTCACCAGGAGCCAGGGAGACAGAGTCAGGGCCGGCTCCAGGCACCAGCCGAGAGTGCAGGTGCTTGGGGCAGCCAAGGGGAAGGGGCAGCACGTTGGGCTCTTCGGGAGCCGGTCCCTCAGTCCCTCTCGGAGGGAAGAACCTGCTGCCAAATTGCCGCCGAAGAAGGAAGTGGCGTAGTGGCGCTGCAGCCAATTGCGATTGTGGCTCCCCCCCGCCGCCGCTTGGGTTGGCAAAAACCATGGAGCCGGCCCTGGCCAGAGTCACCGCAGCAGCTGCGAGTGGCCTGCTGCCTGGGAATGAGCCCAGCCAGGGATCCTCCCCAAGCCGCCTCCCACCTGCTTCTGGGTCCTAGAGATAAACCCATCACATTGTGCTTCTCCTCTCTGTGTCCGGCTTCTGTTACACTCACAGACTTTAAGGTCAGAAGGGCCCATCATGAGCATCTAACCCAGGGGTTCTTATGACCAAATATTTCGTGGTCTCAGAGTGTGGCTAGCAACTCTCGCTGGTGGTTGCTCTGGCACTTTTTCTTAAAATATTTAATTAACTTTAGGACAAACCAATAAATATGCACTTAGGTAAGCGGGGAAATGGTCCTGCTATTGTGGGGAACATTCCTGGCTTATACACAGCCCCAGTGGACTTGGCTAGTGAAAGGATCTGAGTCCTCACTCCCACTCCCTTCACCCAGAGGCCTGCCTGACCTCGTGGACTCCCCTTCCACTTTGGTCCCCGTAACCCTAAGGCCGGGCCCAGGGCTCCTGAGAGGCTCGACCCCCAATCTTGTTGTGATCATTCAGGACAGGTGTCCCCATTGTGGGGTGCTTCCCTGAATGCTTCCTTGACCATTGCACAGAGTTCAGAACAAATACAATTAATTAAACAGCAAATAATAAAAAATAAGGAGAAAAGTGGGAAAGATTAAAGGAAAACACGTTACCCCACTCTGTGGGGGGAACCACAAACAGCATCTCTGGAATGTCAGGGCAGTTCACAGTCTGTTCCTCATATGTCCCAGGCCTCCTGCAGGGATGCAATGGGTCAGACACTTACTCTGGTGGTGGCCACATGCCCTCGGGCTCTAGGTGGCAGGACCCTTCTTCCTAGCATCAGCCTCTTCCTGTCAGGGTTATGATCCCCCCCCCCTCATCTGGCCTGCAAGGCCTCTTGGCTGAGGGCGTCTCCTTGCCCTGGGCCCTTTGCCCAGGGT